CCCCCCCCCCCTCCCTCTCCCGCCACGGAGGGCAAGAGAATTCCGAGGGGAGGGGGGTCCAAAAGGAGGCAAAATCCAAGATTTGTGAGTTTTTTAAAATAAATACAGGCTTCCCCGTAGTTATTGCTGTGGAGTGAGCGAAGCGAGCGAGCAGCAACATAATCAGGATTTAAGAGAAATATATAAGGTGGGACGAATTCCCGAATTCATCACTTTTTGCCAGAATGCATTGCATTTAACCACAGTGCACTGCGCCACATTTTACTAGAATGCATTGCGCACCGAACAACTCAAATAAAAACAAGAGGAAGATCTGTGGGTGAGAGCGTGCATCGTTCGCTGCTCAGACTCAGAGTTTTCTTTGTGGCAAATTTTCAACAGCACGGTTAGAGGTCTTACCAGGTTTAAGACACAAGGGGCGCTTTCCATTTAGTCAAAAATTCCGGAATTTCTGGTTCGGCGGTAAATGGAACACGTTTCGTCGGCTCGTCCCACTGGAAAATTCCCAGAAAAAGTGGAAAATCTAAAAAGGTGGGCCCGTTTTCCCGGTAGGAATTTCCGAACGGAATGTCGTGTTCCATTTACGTTTCTCGTAGTTTGTACCAGTTCCAGGTCCACGGTCGGGCACACCGCGACTTACCGGGGTTTAAGACCAAATGGAACAACTTTTTACCAATCGGAAATTCCACTTTTGCTCCCACCAAAATTTCCGGGTTTTTTTCGTAAATGGAAAGCGCCCAAGGAGTCTTTCAGATGAGTACGATGGTTAACTTGGGGATTGGATTTCAATTCAAGAGCCTTTGACTCGTCCATGCGTTAAACTTGACGAGAAGATGAGATCAGATGAGCATTTGCTCTTCGACTCCGCAACACGGAGCCTTCCAGCTTGCTACTCTTAAGCACCTATATGAGCCGACAATGGATGTGATTTTGACCATTAGCCTCAAAATAACACTAAGCGGAAATCGAGATAACAAAACTTATTATTCATTCAAAATATTTTCCCAATTCTGATTGGCTAAAAGCACACGCATAATTTACCATAACCAGTTACTGATGACCAAATTTGGAAGAATTTTGTGTTTGACGAGGAAATGACGTCAAAAATGCAGCCCGCTACAGGTTAATGCACCGTTAACCGAGAAGACCTGGGGACGAGGTTGAGGTATTTTGGTTTTGAAAGCAAAAATGGCGGACACTTCACTCGTTTCAAGAGTAAGAACTACAGCTGGAACTAGGCGAAATAATAGCTAACAAAAACAGCAAGAAGACAACTCGGAGGGCGACATCTCCTATTTGGAGAATATTTGCGGAGCTGGACAAACCTAAACGTACACTATCGAAGATGAACGTAACATCGATGCACGTAAGCATGTTTTAGCTATGTTCTTAAACTAGGAACTATTTTGAATGAATAATAAAACAGTTATTGAATTCGGCTTTCGTATCATGTATGGAGATCTCGGAGGGTGTTATCTGCCTCGGCCTACAGCCCGGCGACGACTAACACCCTCCTCGACCTCCATAATTCTTCATAAGATACTCAGCCTCATTCATTAATTGTTAAATATGTTTTGCGTCCTACTTTGCAGACGAGGACTTGTATAAATCGGCGTTTTGTAAAGCATAATTATGTTCTTTCATTCATTCATTGCCATGGAATATGAGTTTACATTGTTCTTTTTTTTTTACTGTTAATAGCTCGGTAAATGCGGCTCGATCGTTTTTAAACGGCGTTTGCCAGCAGAAGTTTCATGGAAAAGGCATTAAACTAAAGTCTTTTCCCCAAGGTTACGTAATCAGCCTCTGTGGTGTGGAGGCTCTCTCCTCTACATAGGACTTTTTGTGTTGTAGAGAGGCTGGGGAGAAAGAAAAAGGGAGCGCGCGGGGCACGATGGGAAGGGAAAACAGAGAAGAGAGGCTCCCGCCTTTTCCCTCTTCCAATCGTTTCTCGCGCGCTTTCTATTTTTCGATTTTTGCTACTTTCTGTTTGGAAACCCAGCGGGAGACTCTGCAGAGGAGAGAGGTGTCGACCCGAAGGTGCCGGGTTCGAGTCCTACTCAGTACCTTTTTTTTCCGTTTTTTGTGTTGTTGTTTTCTATAAATATATAGTTACCCAAATAACTGTTATTTAACTGCAATAAACAGCAAGAAAAGTATCGTGTTTCCTCCGGTGGAAAGATAGTACACCGCCGTAGTATTGAATATATGGATAAACAATCTGAATTTCTATCATTTCCTTCAATTTACTGTAGGAAAACCAGAGTTGATAACCATTTGATCATTTTCTAAACAACGTTCCCACTAGTTCTCTCTATAGACTGATAGTATTTATCAGGGGCACCCAACGTCAATTTTCGGAAAATATCT